AATACCTGAAAAATCAGAAAATATAAATTTAAAAAAAATTAAAAAGGGCATGTTAACCATCAATGTTAGCAAACATTAATTGTTCTTTATTCTAATCTTTCTCCGCATTTTCTTTTCTTCTGCAAAAACCAAGACCTGTTCATTACCATATTTTTCTCTGGGTTGGGAGGAATTGCAGTATCTTCATAGTACAAGTTTCTAATGGTTTCCATCAATGCTTCTCCCACAAGTCTTCTTTTTGGAAAAATTTATTTTCTTTGCCAATAATTGGGTTTTAGAAGATGAATTTCTAGGGAGTTCCCTCCTGGATTTACATTCAGATTTTTTTTAGGCCAGGATTTACCAGCAGAATGCAAAGTTCTTTTGAGCCATTATTTCACTGTCTTGGTTTCTTAATAATGCCATGCAAGGTTTACTTATACACCATTTGATTTCTTTGTTTCTTTTCTTTCTTTGTCATGAACGCCTATTGGCCTACCCGAAAAGAAAACAAAATAAATAAATATATAGAACTGGTATCTCAGTTCCACATCAACATTTCAATAGTTATAACCACACTGTGATGGTGGAAAGTCTATACATGGAACAAAACACAACAATGTCAACATATCCAAAAATTCTTAACCCACAATGTGACATAATATAGGTGCAAATGTTTACCAGGTGAATCTTCCCGTAATTGTAAAAGTACCAATTGAGAGACAACACCTGTAATTCAAAAACTATCCATTCATATGATTGCATCATGCCAAGCTTTTTTTTGAAATTGCTAATCAGCCATCCATTATTTTTGACATGTATCATCATTCTCTTTCTGTTATCAGCTCTACATCAAAGTGGAAGATATCATTCTCCAAAAGAGTTTGGGGCTTTCATCCTTTTTCTTGGAAGCTGATAAGTTTTCCATGAAGACAGGAAAAAATATATTATGGACGAACAAGTTGTGATCTCATCAAGTGGGGTCCATTTCTTTCTTGTTTTTTTTAAAATCAATTTTTTGCCCTTTTTTCCCCCTTCCAATACATTGTTTCTTTTTCTTAGTAACTTTACAGTGAACAATACTGCAGAAAAACCAGAATGTTAGTAAGCTTTAATGAATTCATTCATGATCACCCTCACAAAACAAATAAAACAACATAAGCATATATAATTTTTTATTCCTTTTTGCATTCCCGGTGATCAAGCCGATGGTGGCAAATGATAGAAGCCCAAAGATGAACTTCATGGTGGTCGGAACAATGAAAAACTTTCCGGTGAAGAGACAAAGAGAAACTGAAGAATGAAAGAGGAGTGAAAGAAACTAGTACATTGATGGCCCTTAAGAACACGAAGAAACAACATTGATGGCCCATCGCTTGTGAAGAGTCAATAATTTCTCCTCTTTCTTTCACTAATTTCAAACTTTGGTTTCTTTTCGGTAAAGAGTCGTACTCTTATACATGGTACTCACTCAAAGAATAATTAACTCAAACAATAATTAATTGAACTAAAATGAACTCAAACAAAATTAGGCAAATTTACCTGTTCAAGTTTCTCTTGTTCTTCTTCTAGTCTTAGTTTTTTTTTAAAGTTCTTCTTAGTTTGAATTGTTTTCTTCTTATTGCAAAGTAATTTTTCAATCTTTAAAATTCATATTTTTTTTTATTATGATTGTGCTTGGCATATAAAACATTATTTTCATTGAATTGTGTTTCAAGTGACGTCTCTTGGAATAGATCATCTCCAACTGTGTTGTCTTCATATTCTATCTTCTAATTTGTTTTATTGGTCAACAAAATAATTTGTCTTTCTTATTTGCAGGATCAAAGACATAGAACATTTGTTTAGCTTAAGAAGTCAAAATGAAAGGCTTTTCTTTATACTCCTTACTTATTCAAATTTAATTGCATAAATTGTAAGTTATTAGCTCTCAAGGCATTATTAATGTTAACCTAATTGCCCCCAGATATTGAAACCAAATTCCAATGCAATATAACTCCCAAATGTGCTTAATAACCCCAGAGTACTCATATTCCCATAGATAGAACTACTATCTTTGGTACTTTACATATACATCGTATTAGTTACAAGAATTACACTACTATTTTGTAATTTCCCCAATCATCATGTTCTTTGGTATATTAGGTGAACCGGTTAATAATGTAGCTTCTATAAAAAGATATATGTTTGCATAGATCGTTTACAAAGAACTTTAATTTGTTAAAAACTTAATCAGGATCAACATCATACTTATCATGCATATGGTCTTTCAATCATACTTTAAATTGTTTATTATGTACTTTTAACATACTAACTTTCTAGTTTATTAGAACTACCCCTCTTAAGTTCCTCCATATTCTTGTCGACATAGTCTTTAACCTCTGTGAAGTTGTGTAATACATACAGATGTGATTTCTCTCATGTTGGTTTGAGATCGCACCAACTTTCCTACCTATCATCTCTTTCTCACTTGTCCTTTCCTCATGCCGAAACACTGGAAGTCTAATATCATTGATGTTTTTTAAATATTTGGTAAAAAATTTAACAACCTCTTCACAAATGTATTGTTCAACAATACAACCCTCTAGCCGACTATGATTTTTCACATAACCTTTCAATATCTTTTATGTAGTGCTGGACCCACAAATTTGCAAAAACTGGTGGGTTAGGGTTGGCTAAAAGCCAACCTACTAATAAATAAGCCTTTTTAGCCCACATTGCTGAGCTCACAACCCACTGCAAGTTACCCCACCAACTCGCATTTTTTTTAATTTTATTAATTATTATAATTATATTAATACATAATATATCCTATCTTAAAAATTTTAAAATGCCCATATAATTTATTTGGTGCTTTTAATCAAGTATTTTAAGGAAAAAAATTCATTATTTTTTTTGGTATATTGTATAAGAAAAATACTTAAAAAATAGAAAATAAAAAATAAATAATTATTGACAGACTAACCCGCAAATCCACTAAAGTAGGTTCTTGTAAGCAAGTTTTTTTTTTTGGCTCACACCGCATAAGCTCAACTTATGGTTTGATCCATATTATCATCTCTATAATACTAGAGGGAAATGTGTCTCAAGTTCACATAACTTAGCCATGATTTGCGTTTGCAATCTTAATAGTAAGGAAATACACACAGTATCCCAGAAGGAAAAGATGTTGTTTTGGGTAAATATATATAAAAAGCTTGGTGGTTGAGAAAATGACATGGAAGAGAGAGTGTTTGTGTTGACTCTGATAAGAGAAAACATGACATTTGATAGAATCCAAAAGAATAAAATTAATGAATATTTATGGGAGTTGATGAATTTTTCCCCCCCTTCCACAAAGTTCATGTATTTTTTTTTTTACCGAAGTAAACTTTATACTCCCTCCATTCCTTATTATAAGAGACGAATAACCGAATTACGTTGATCAAAAAAACAGTTAAAATTAGTTAAGAACAATTAATGTGTAAAAAGTATAATTTTTTTTCCAAAAATGCCTTTATTAATAAGGAGAGAGAGCATGAAAGAGAACAATAGTAAATTCTTAAAAGAAAGAGAAGTGGGAAGGAGAGAGAGTGTGAGTTGGAGACAATAAATATGGGTAAAATAGGAAATCAACACAAAAAAGTAGAGACAACTTTTAAGTGTCTCTTATATTTAGGAACATACTATAAGCATCAAATGTCTCTTATAATAAGAAACGGAGGGAGTAGTGTCTAGTACCCATTAGTATAGATTTCATTGTTTTTTTTTGTTAAAGTATAGGTATCTTCCTATTAGAGACAATCCCATTCGAGGTACTGTCAGGCTAAAAATGTACCTTAAAGCTAGTTTCATGAGCCTCACTAATTGACAAGTAATGAACGTTAACGGTTTGTTATTTTTGGCCTATCTTGACAACTTTATGTATAGCTTTACACTCAAAAACACTTTATGGTGCAGCACCCCTTATTGCAAATTTAGTTGTTAAAATTACATGTTAATCCTTACAGCCTTACACTTTTTTACACTTTCTTTGTCATTGTTGCAGATAGCCTACGGTAAAAGCCATTATTGTTTTCACGAGAGAAAAAATTAAATAAACATCAATGGAGAACCCAATACGCATCAAATTTGTACAGTATGCATATATAATGTCTAGTGTAACTCCACTAGCAATATTAACAAATCAACTAATAAAGCTCATATCTTGTAGCATTTAATCTAACATCATTACCTTTTTAGAAGTGAAAATGAGTAGAGAGAAAACATAGTATTTGATGCGACTAAAAAGAATAAAGTTAACAGTTGATAAATTTTTTTTATTTTTCGTCTTTTTAGAAAATTTATGTATATTTTTACATCCAAATAAACTTTCTGATGCCTAATACCTATTAGTGTTAATTATATTGTTAAAAATACACCTTAAAACTGATTTCATGAAGCCCACTAATGGACAAGTAACGGAAGTTAATGGTATTGTTATTTTTGCCCCATTTTAACAACTTTATGTATATTTTTGCATCTAAGGAAATTTTATAATGTCTAGTGTTGTAAACTTGATTGTTAAAATTGTACTTTAACCATTACAATTTTTACACTTTCTTTGTCCTTCTTGTAGAAAGCCTGCGGTAAAAGCTATTTTTGTGTCAGTGATAAACACCTCACTTTCATGAGAACAAATTTTAAATAAACATCAATGGAGAACCTAGTACGCATCAAATTTGTACAGTATGCTTATATCGTCTCTTGTGTAACTCAACTAGCAATATTAACAAATCAACTAATGAAGCTCATATCTTGGAGCATTTAATCTAACATCATTGCCTGTCCTCAATAATGATTCACAATCACTAGTCACTAATCTGTGTATAACTTATACGAAACATTAGGGGAAAATTCCATCAATGGAAAACCCTTCGCATAATTAATTACATTTACATGAGATGCCGAACCTGATGGAAAGCCCTATGTCTCATCCACTTTACTGCAGACCACTTTGTCCCAGAAAGTACCTCACATGCTTTATGAACGCTGTTTGGATCTCATTGTCCACTTAGTCCCTGAATAACACACCAACACATAAATATGTTACTCCCTCCGTTCCTTATTATAGAGATGTTTGATACTTATAGCATGTTCTTATATATAAGAGACACTTAAAAGTTGTCTCTACTTTTTTGTGTTGATTTCCTATTATACTCATATTTATTGTCTCCAACTCACACACTCTCTCCTTCCCACTTCTCTTTCTTTTAATAATTTAATTGTTCTCTTTCATGCTCTCTCTTCTTATTAATGAGGGCATTTTTGGGAAAAAAATTACACTTTTTACACATTGATTGTTTTTAACTAATTTTAAATATTTTTTTATCAACGTAATTTGGTTATTCGTCTCTTATAATAAGGAACGGAGGAAGTACTTATTTTCAATTATGAGGGTTACAATAATGAGATCACACACACAATTCACTTACATTCTGGTCAAATTGTGTCTGGTAGCACTTTAATTCATATTATTTAAATTCTCTTATACTATCACACAAAATGAAAATATTATATATAATTTTAAATTAGCATCCGTAAGTTAAATAATTGTCCATTATGTGATACCTGGTGTCTTCATCATTTTCCTTCCCTAACATAATGCCAAGCATGACATATTAAGGATATGCTTTTGCTGAACCAGCCACGGCATAGTTATAATCAATCTAAATCTTATATAGTAAACATGGCCAATTGAAAAAAAAAATCGCAAAAGTAAATGTTTATAGTGTATTTGGAGAGGTGGAGGAAAAAGAAAAAAGTAAAAAAAGGGGGCATGAATGTAAAATGTGAGCCTACAAACAATTATGTTTTATTTTTGTGTCTCTCTTTCCACATGCATCAATATATGAATGTGAAGGTAATTTGAATCACAATAGATACAATGAAATGAAATAGAAAGCTAAAAGGATTCAAGAAAAAATGCTGATGATAATCCAGAATAAGGCTGGAGAACATGAACTTGCAATATATGATTATTCCAGCAATATAAAATAACAAGAGGAGGAAAATTTTGAGGTACCTGTTAAAAGGACACTTTTTCTATATTGTGCAATGCCACGTTTGGCACGTAAAAGTTTTCGCTAATTTTAAGCTCCAAAAGATTTTTTTTTTTTTGGGTATTTGTTAGAAATAAGAACTCAGTCCTGCAGCTAATGGTGACACAATCATTCTGTTTGACTCAAAGCCGAATCACGGGGTGTTTGGGTAAGATCAAAACCATAGTTTCAGAAGTACTTTTATGGTATACGATGTAAATATGTGGAGTAGTTTGCCTCGATTTGCGAAAAAGTATTTCTGAAAAGTGCTTCAAAAATAACCAACAAAACAACCAAAAAAGGAAGTAATAGCACAATCAGAATAATTAGTTGCTACCTATAAAACACATATATACCGTTACAATGGCTCTTGCTATTGTGTTCTATGTCCATGTTAGAGTTCATATTTCCTAGGCAGATCCCATTTCACTGTACCATCATCAATTTATTTATATAATAAAATCAACAGCAAATCACATTATCTGTAAGCTTGAATAATGTGACTCATTTTTCATAATTGCGCAGAAAATGTGTCCAGTTACTATTATATAACAAGCAAATATTGATACTAACCATACTCCAAAAAAGTACTGCATTTCCTTTAACAGGTTTCACAGATAGCCCTTTGACAATTTTCCCACCACAGTTACACTCATCTGAACCACCCTGCAATGCAATAATGTGTGTTAAAAACAGCCAGAGGATCCTCTTACAAAAGATTCTAATCAAAATTGTAGGTGATGCCAGCATATTAAGGCAGTCATTTTACCTGGTCATTAAATGTTTCAAATAGAAGGTAGAATCAAGATAAAATAATAATAGAAGTACAAATAATAAATTTTTATTAAAAAAAATACCTGATTGACTAACATAACTGGTTCAAACTATGATGAGATAATTTACTGAGGCGAATCAGACGATAACAAAAACATAGATTTCTCTTTTTGGGTGTAAAAAAGAAGCAGCCGTATTTAGTACCTTACAACTCGGGAGCAGGACATCTGGACATGAATAAGAGCCTTTCTTTATAAATATAACATATCACATTATAACCTTATAATAAAAGTACATCCAGAAAGTGTTAACAATTACATTCACAAGAATACTTTTGAGTCTAATCAAGTTTAGGATTTAGATTTTGGGCCCATCCTTTACACGAAGTCTAAGGTGAGCCACACTACTCCTGGATTATAAATATTGTGACTCCTTATAAGTTTTCTATATTATACATGGCTATAGATTTAAGGAGTCAACCAGACATTCATGAACAACGATTTTATCAACCGGAAACCACTATGTAGTAAAACGGCTTATCCATGTCAGTGACTCATTAGTTACAGACACTGAATATGACATGTAGTAAATTCCCCTGTTCTCGTCTCTTTCTTCCCTTTCTCCCTTCTCTATTTCTTGTCTATAGCATGAAACCATACCAGACTCCATATCTCATAAAGAAACGAACCTATATTGTGACACTTCAGGGTTTGCTACACATCTGCCTCATAACTATCATCTACTAATGACATATAAAATCAGCAAGATGAAAGACTTCAGGAAACAAGAAGTTGACCTTTGGGAAATATGTTTCACCACCCTCAACATTGTCGCTTAAATACATAAGCATTGTCGCTATTCGCTGCCCATTGTTTTTCAAGTCGTACTGTTGGGGAAGAAGAAAAGAATAAAAAGGCAGTTCTTATCATCACAAAATGGAAAAGACAGCAAGGAGGGGAATAAAACTCACAGTATCACTAAAATAGTCAAGATGGAGTTCGTAATACTGATTCTTCTCATACCTGTGATTCTGCAGATGTTAGCCTTGGTACCAGGAAAATCACTCCTTTTAGTGTGAAAAGAATGGAGGAAACAAAGTCATATCCTACCTCAAAATTTGCATTGGCTCTCCATTTTCAACTGGTACTTGAGCATATATTGAAATTCTTCTTTCAATTGCCTGGTGTGTTAGTTGAACATGTTTTATTAAAATTTTCAATTAATCCTCACCAGAAACAAAAGGTATTTCACCATTATACAAATCAATAACCAAATATGCAACACAATTGCAAGCATAGAGCAAAACTAACCAATGATTTTGAAGGCAGCTAAAATTTTCATATAATAATGAAAACACTAACCATCAAATGGTTGTGCCATGTTTCAGAAATTTAGCATGTCAATATGATAAATACATAGAAATCAGATGGTAGGTGGTGCATAGTAATATATAGAATGTGGCAATATATATAAATACAAGACAATAAGATCTTTCAAGTTATGCCATGTTTCAGAAATTTAGCAATTAACATTAACAATAGTATGACTTTATTTTTGAATGAAACCAAGTTATCTCAGTAAAAGGCCACAAATATTATATTAAATCTGAGGATCAGAATCACAAAGCAAAGTATTCTCCAAAACAAATTACAATCTAAACAACCACACACTGCATGCTATCCTCTCCATCCTCTATTACTTTCTACTCAAAAACAAAAAGAAAAAGAAAGAAAAGGTGGTAGGTGCGGAGCTCAAATTGATTTACAGGACATTAATTTGTTTGGGAAGTAAGAAGAAACTAATGCTTCCTGTAGAGCCTTAAACTCTCTTGTCAGTCCATCACTTAATGGTGTTCAATAAGCAAATCGTTCACTTATAATTGAATTACCATCTCAAGTATTAACTAACTTTTTGTAATCACATCCATGTCAAATTCATCAGTTCTTACAAGTTCCTTCTTTCCACATGCTTAAACTCTCAAGAATTTCGAAAATAACTTATCTATCACTAGGAACTAACGATGTAGTAAATTTAAAACAAAAATGTTGGTTGTCACTAATAATGGGAGACAATTCAGATAAAATACTAAACAAGAAAGCACACTAGTTAACAAACCTGCACCATTGGGTGTTTTCTATCTTTTGAACTTAGGAACATACCAGAGCTTGTCCTGCGTTTGGTGTCAACACCCTATGAAAGATGAAGGAAAATCAGATAAGGTGCAAGTTGGCAGGCTACAAACTACGATTCTTATTTGAAGGACACAGGCAGTAGAAAAGTTTATAGGCTCTAGAAACTCGTATGTAGAAAGAGTATAATCACTGCTTCATACATTTCCCCTTATTTTCTCTCCCTTTTCTCATACTCACTCAAAACTCATCATCAAGGTTCTTCAGATGTAAATGAGATAAGATCCTTCGGGATTCTGCAGTGTTTGCAAGTATTTTGACGTTTATAGTTGGAGATAAGTGCAATAATATTCAAAAACAAATTTCAATTTCTGCATCTTTTAGAAGAAAATATTTTTGGGTCATGTTAGAATAGTGTAGCGGAAGGTAACAGCTTTGATGTATATGAATGCTTCTATATATTTCAGAATCAATCGAACAAGTATATATATACAATAGGAGGATGAGAGGCCGACTATAATGGCCTGATTCTACGCGATCTCAATCACGCTCAAGTCGGAACCTACACAATCAAATAAAATCTTTCCTAAAACTTTCGATCATATCGCGAAATCTAATTTACAATTAATCCCCAAGATCCTATCTTATATTCTACACTCCCCCTCAAGTTAGAGCATAGATATTAATCATGCCCAACTTGCCTATGAGATATTTGAACTTATCACTTGTAAGGCCTTTTGTGAGAGTGTCAGCTGTCTGTTCTCTTGAAGGTATATATCTGAGATCAATTATACCAGCATCAATCTTTTCCCTTATGAAGTGTCTGTCTATTTCTACATGCTTCACTCGATCATGCTGAACTGGGTTATGAGAAATGTTGATTGCTGCCATATTATCTGAGTAAAGTCTAATAGGAAGATTCACCACCATTTGTAGTTCCTCCAATACTCATTTCACCCATATGCCTTCACAAATTCCACGAGTGATAGCTCTGAATTCGGCTTCAGCACTGCTTCTTGCTACTACATTCTACTTCTTACTTCGCCAAGTAACTAAGTTACCCCAAACAAAGGTGAAGTATCCAGACGTGGACTTTCTATCATCTTGATCACCTGCCTAATCAGCATCAGTAAACATCTTGACATTTCTTTGGCCAGATTTCTTGAATAGGAGTCCTTGTCCTGGTGAACCCTTTAAATACCTCAGGATTCTGTATACCTCGTTTAGATGCTTCTGTTTTGGATCATGAGTGTTGGGTCACGACGCTCACAGCAAAGGCAATGTCTGGTTTGGTGTGAGACAAGTATATCAACTTTCCCACCATCCGTTGATACCTCCCTATGTCAACAGCCTTTCCCAAGTCTTCATCATCCCCAATTTTATCAATCCATATGGGAGTATCACTTGGTCTGCAACCAAGCATTCTAGTTTCCTTTAGGAGGTCTAGTATATACTTTCTTTGTGAGATATAAATCCCTTGTTTTGACCTAGCCACCTCCATCCCTAGGAAATACTTCATTTCTTTGAGATCCTTGACCTGGAATTCTTCGTTTAGAGCTCCTTTGATCCGATCTATTTCGGTTGGGTCATTACCCGTGAGTACAATATCGTCTACGTAAACAGCAAGAATTGTGATTTTTCTGCTCATGTGTCTAAAGAACATAGTGTGATCGCTCTGCCCCTGTATGTATCCCTGTGCCTTAAGAGCATGGGTGAATCTTTCAAACCATGCTCTAGGAGATTGTTTCAGCCTATACAATGACTTCCTTAGCTTGCAAGCTTGGTTTTTCTGTTGTCCCGAGAACCCTGGGGGTAGCTTCATATATACTTCTTCCTTTAATTCGCCATTCAAGAAGGCATTTTTTACATCCATTTGATGTAACGGCCAATCTAAGTTAGCAGCTAAGGATAGGAGGATTCTGATGGTGTTTAGTTTTGCCACCGGAGCAAAAGTCTCTGTGTAGTCCATGCCATATACTTGAGAGAAACCCTGGGCCACAAGTCTTGCCTTGTACTTTTCAAGAGAGCCATCCGCATTGTATTTTAGGGTAAAAACCCACTTACATCCCACTGCCTTCTTTCCTTTGGGCAAATCAACCACATCCCAAGTGTCATTGCCCTTTAGGGCTTTCATCTCTTCCATAACAGCTTGTCTCCATTTTGGGTGAGCCAAAGCTTCATCTATGTTGTTTGGAATTCGAACATCATCTAGATGAGAGACAAACGCAGCATATTTAGATGTAAGGCCTTGATAGGAGACAAACCTTTCTATGGGATGCCTTGTACATGTTCTGGGGGGCTTTTTGATGGCGATTGGTAAGTCAAGTTCCTTTTGTATTTCCTTTGGAACTGCTTCCGGTTCTGATTCATGGCACTCTTCAAATGTTTGAGGAACATTACCTGCCTTGTGTCTCCGTGTATAGAATTGTATGTTCTCAAGAGTGTCTCCCCCTGACTAAGTGTTTCCCTTATTATCTCTAGGTACCTCTATTGGCACTTCCTCACTGGTAGGTTCCTCACTGGTGGGTTCCTCAAGGATTGGGGAAAAATCAAGAAGTTTAGGGTGTTCAGGGTCAAGGAGGGTTTCAGAGTTTGCTGTGGTTTTGGGGTCGGGGTCGGTGTCACTCTGAGATTCACTCCAAGACTCCCCCTGAATCGATGACCAGGAATAAAAGGGAATGGTTTCATGGAAGGTGACATCACAGGTGACATAAAGGCGTTTAGAAGTAGGGTCATAGCACTTATACCCCTTTTAGGTGCCAAAGTATCCCAGGAAGATGCAGTGAACAACTTTGGGATCGAGTTTGTGAGTGTGATGTAGATGGACATAGGTAGTGCAACCAAACACTCGCAAGGGTAGGGTATTTTCTAGGTAGGGGATGTTGTAATGAGTATGAAGGACTTGTAATGGCGTTTTATAGGACAAAGGTTTGCTAGGCATACGATTAATGAGAAAAGTGGCAGTGAGAACCGCATCATCCCAATGATATTTTGGTACATTGCTACTGAACATGATTGCTCTGGCTGTATCTAGGATGTGTCTATTTTTTCTCTCAGCGATACCGTTCTGTTGAGGACTATGAGGGCAAGTACTCTTGTGTAGGATGCCATGTTCCTTGAGAAAGGTGGAAAGGTTCTGATTGAAGTATTCAGTGCCATTATCTGTGTGTAATATTTGGATGTGTGTTTGAAACTGAGTATGAATCATGTGATAAAAATCAATGAACGTTTGGTGAACATCTGTTTTGTCTTTTAACAGAAACACCCAGCTCACTCGTGTGTGATCATCAATAAAGCTTATAAACCATTTAGAGTGTGTGCGATTCGAAGCTCTTGTAGGTCCCCACAAGTCACTATGGATTGTTGTGAATGGTTTTGAAGCACAATAAGGAACACTAGGAAAGGAGGTGCGATGGTGTTTTGCACGTTCATAGGCATCACAATAAAATTCAGAGCAATCTTTATTTGAGCAAATAGATAGAAACAATTGAGTCATAATGAAAATTAGGGTGTCCTAACCATTTGTGCCATAACTCCAAGTCACTAGTCCTAGGGAGAGACACTTTATTACAAGAAATAGTACGGTGATCAACACAATCATCCAGGTAGTAAAGATCGTCAAACTCTTTAGCAATGCCAATCGTCGTCCCCGTCAACAGATCCTGAAAGACACAATGAGTAGCAAAGAAATCAGCATGGCATCGTTCTTCCTGAGCAAGTTAACTAACAGATAATAAATTACATCGCAAGTTTGGAACATAAAGAACAGTATGTAAAGTAAGCGTGGCAGATACTTTAATGCTCCCTATACCAGCAACCGGGGAGTCAGAAGCGTCGGCAATATTAACAGGTGGTAAATTTTTTGTAGAAGTATATGAGGAGAGTAATGTAATATCATCAGTCATGTGATTAGATGCACCGGAATCAACAATCCAACATTATCCAGACTCATACCTCTAATAGTTGCCAATGCTTTAAAAAAATTACCTCGCTTAACCACAGTGGCCACGGGTTGTTTCCGTGACTGTTGACTGCCTTCTAATGCAGCAAGTCGTTCAAGAATTTTGCTCAGTTGATCTTCCTGGTGTCCTGAATTTAAGGATCCTGCATCCTCACCACGTGCCACTTCTGCCACATAACCTCGCCCGCGGCTTTTTCTGGGCTTCCAATCTCCAGGCTTCCCATGGAGGTCCCACAAGTGTCCTTAGTGTGACCCTGTTATGATAGTGTTCACACTGTGGTCTAGGCTTTGTGTTAACAGGACGATTGTCAGTGGAGCGAACACGAGTGCAGATGGTTCAATGGTGTGGGGCCGAGGTGCTGGGTCACCTTTTAACATGACTTTCTTCCTTGAGTCCTCACTACGTAGCATTGCAAAGGCGCCACGAACAGTGGGAAGGGGGTCCTGACTCAAAATGCGACCCCGAACATCATCAAAGGAGGGATTGAGTCCGGCCAATAGCTCAAATAGGCGCTCCTTTTCAACCTTCTTTCTATTGCTGGCCGCATGTGAAGCACAACATGGGTTATCATCACTAATAAGGTCCAGTTCTTGCCAAAGAGTAGTCTTAGCAAGGTAATAGTCACCTAAGGAGAGAGACCCTTGCTTCAGATCCCATAATTTGGTCTTGAGGTCAAATATCTAGGAAGCATTTTCTCCATCACCGTAAGCCCCACGAATCGCGTCCCACATTTCACATGCTGGAGACAGAAACATAAAACAGCGCTTGAGGGAGGGAGCCATCGCATTAACGAGCCACGAGCATACCATCGCGTCTTCGGCCTTCCACAGCTTCACAGCTTTGGCGTCAGACGATAGTGGAGTTGGTGCATCACTGGTGATATGGCCAAGCTTGCCGCGGCCTTCGAGGGCGAGTTTGATCGACTGGGCCCACTCTCGATAGTTCTCACCAGAGAGTTTCTCGGGCACAATGAGGACAGCCGAAGTCTCAAACACGGTGGACAGAGGCCGCGTCATGCCACTAGCAAAGGAGCCACCGAACACTCCCGACGTCGTGTGCGACTCAGACAGGGAGGTCGACTCCTTCTCACTACCAGAAGAATGGGTCATCGTTGCTATTGCCTATCAGCTAGCTTTGCTCTGATACCATGTAGCGGAAGGTAACAGCTTTGATGTATATGAATTCTTCTATATATTTCAGAATCAATCGAACAAGTATATATATACAATGGGAGGATGAGAGGCCGACTATGATGGCCTGATTCTACACGATCTCAATCACGCTCAAATCGGAACCTACACAATCAAATAAAATCTTTCCTAAAACTTTCGATCATATCGCGAAATCTAATTTACAATTAATCCCCAAGATCCTATCTTATACTCTACAAATAGCTATGCACCATAGCTACGACAGTGAAAATAAGGTGTGACCTAGCTATATTCCAACTGCTCCACTGGCTGAAATGTAAATCTATACATAGTTGTCGTATCTATAATAAAAGTTTCATATATTGTGCAGGGTAATGTCATCAATGATGCAGATTGTCTCCCTGTCAAACAAACTCAACATAGTGTCCTGTGGTTTCTCATAGTACTGCCCAAGGAAACATACTCAACATGCCTCATGCTACACGGCCCTAGTTTTAACATAAGAAATGTAAAGCCAACCTCATTTCTCACATCTAATGAATGGGGCATCATAGAAAACCACCAAAAGAATTATAGGCATCCATGTTCGTATCTGGATGTCTAGATAATGAAAACCAAAGTACCTTTCCCGTTTTGTCATCTATCACTCGTGAATTTTGAAGGTGAGGGTACCCTAAGGCCTTAAGATACTCACATTCCTGTAAAAGAAAATTAGCTTCAATTTCAGTATAAATGGCCTTGCAAAGTTGCAACTATCAACGACTTTATGCAGAAGCTAAATTTGTCAAAATTTATTAGTACTGATGTTATTGTTGTATAAGTCATGAACTTTTCTTGTCTGGTATCCATAAGAAGACATTAAATGGGGTTGCTAAACAAAACAACACATCCTACAGTACTTTATAGTTCGAACCTAACAGTAACACATGAGAAGTAGCATAGAAAGATCCACCAAAATTATATTTTATCAGGAGAAACTGAAATACGTATAGATGAATGAGAAAGTGAAATATGGTGACAGCCAATGCTTTTTACTATTTGTTAGAACTGATTTAAAATAAACCGACTCAGCTAGCCATGCTAAAACATCCATATAGGTGTTGCCAAAGGAAAAAAGAAAAATATAAACTTGGCCATAATCTTGGTCCTCTATTTTATAAAATGAGCCAAGTCCACCATGTTAATACAAAGAATTTGGAAATCATAAAGAAGCCATACCTCCATGCTTAGGAAGTTACGCAGTAAAATAATTCTCGGAGACCAGCTAAGAACTTCAGGTTTGACCTACAACCAGAATTAGGATCACAGGAGATTAACCAAAATCAAGTTTTTGTCATGTAAATCAACTCTACTCCCACAACAATGAGAAATGACCTGAATATACAACAAATTTGAGAAAGAGTATAAACTAATTAAAAGCTAAAATAAACAGGGAGACAAGTTCGATTAGTTTTAGCATGGCAAATCATTACATTAAAATGCAAGGAAGATAATGGTAAAAAAGAACTCAAATGATTCAGTCGATACATCAGCATGATACGCATCATCATATGTTAGTATTAGTAATATACTAACATAGAAGCTCATTTACATTGATAAAGAAATAACTTATTATATTTTAATAACAAAGGGCAATCATGAGCAAGTGGTGTTTTGGACTTTATTTGGCCAAACAAAACAAAAAAGACATTAAAGTAACAAATATCATAATGTACAGTCTCAACATATTAAATTGTTAACAAAGAGAACACAGGATTGACGGTTCTAGAACAGTCTGAATTATCCAAAAGAAAATGTATAATTACCGCTTTGAAAATGACAGTATATCTATATATGTCCAAATGAGAATTAGGGAATACGAAGAAAATTCTCTTACTAGTGTCTACGGGGGGGGAACAAAAATGCTTCCAACAGTTGCACTAGCTTTTTACTGTATCAGAGGTCCAAAGTTCTACAGACTGAAAAACTTTCAAACAGGAATAATAACTTCAGATACTCCTCCGATCCTTAATATAGGACCAATTGTTAAGTTGATTTTAGTTTTAAATATAAGACCCATTTATCATATTTGTCAATTTTCTCTAAATTATCCTTATGGATACTCCCTAAACCATAATCAAGTAGAAAAAGAAGAAGGAGTATTAAGAAAGATGATTATGATATTTTAGGAAGAATGTGTCATTTTTCTTATCATTAACTAACTTACCTAACTTCCTTAATTTAATCAAATTAGTTAAATGGATTTTATATTAAGGACCGGAGGAGTTTTTTTTTTGGGGAGGGGGGGGAAGAAATCTGCATACATATCCAGGACGTAAGATTTCTGCTTCCTTGTCATTTTTCAAAGATGGAATACCTGAAAAATCAGAGAATATAAATTTAAAAATATGCAAAGAAAGAGTTCTAATAACCAAAGGGCTGCATACAACCTGCATATATTAAAATCATGAAAAATGATTTCAAATGAATAGTAGTGCAATGCCTCCACCGATTTTTTTTTTTTTTTAAAGAAAGGCATCGTTATTGTTGACATCTTCTATCGTATCTAGTATTTACACATATTGTAACTGGAAGATTATAATAAGAAGTTTATCTCTCCTGGCATGGAAGATAAATACATTATTTAGTCACTTTATTGTGCATTGAGTGTGTCCAGTAAACTTAAACGTTTCCTCAGCCATTAAGTTCAAGGGCTTTGGGCATGACAAGGAGGAAAAACTGCTTTTGCAGATTTCTGTGTTAGCAGGCTTGTTATCTTCATAACTAGAACGGAATGTTAGTCTTTGAAGGACCTAGTCAGACTTATTCAACCTATAGTGTTGAAGCATTTGCAGAGGCCTTAGCCTCCATTGGGATCATAAATCCAATATAATGCGACTTTTTAAGACTACTTGGAATTAGCATAGCAGTGTTTAAAATCCTTGGAAGCATTTTCTTGTCTGGATTGTTTCTTGGTTATTGAAACAACACCTCTACTATAAATCTTTCTGACATGACGGGCCGTTTGTTTCTGGTTTTTGTTTTCTTTTTCTCAAAACAATTTTATAAAATTATTTTTTAAAACAAGTTTTTAAAAAAAAAATTTTGGATAATAATTTTTAAAAGTTATGTTTGAAAAAAATTATAAAAAAAAACTTGATAGATGATAGTTGTCGTTAACAGTGGTAGATGGTGGATAGTAGGTAAGAAGATAAGAAGATTTCTTAAAATTTTTAAAAATAAAAAGCATAAAAATAAAAACAAGAAAACATATAAAAGTTTTGGTTTTTTAGTTTTTAAAAACATGTTCCTGTTTTTTGTTTTTTAAAACAATAAACTAAAAACAAATTACTAAACAACTTTTGTTGTTTTTTCTATTTTTAAAAGCAAAAAATTGTTTTCAAAATAAGAAACCAAACAGGCCTTACATCTCTTGTATTTATCCCTAGCTAACTAGTTGTCGCATTAAAATTGGGAATGAGTTTGGATGCTCATCAAGATTGATGAGCACCCAATGCTCATCGAATCCGATATGAACGATCGAGATTTAGTTTTATTTTTATTTTTATTTTTTTAAAATAATTATTTTAATAGGTATAGAATAAAAAAATAAAGATAATCTCTTAATTATTATTTTTTAAAAAATAAATTTTTTCTATTTTAAAATAATTATTTAAAAATATTAAATTTGAACGGTCTAGATTGTTCATTAAGTGATGAGCACCGGTGATGAGTACCAAAACCGGACCCTATAAAGATGACTGACAGTTTCAGACCACAAATCGCTCCACCGCGAACCCGAGACATGCTCATTTCCCATGAGAATAATCAAAACCATCCGCAAAAAATTTGAAAGAAAAAAACAAAAAATCAGACACCAGGAAAAAGTAAGTAAAATTGCTATCTCAGTTCCATTCAAACAAACAGGGAAGGACAAACATTTCAATATTTATAACCACAATGTGACGATGGAATGTCTATATATGTAACAAAACAGAACAATTTCAACATCTTCGAAATTTCTTAAGCCCCAGTGTTGCATAATATGAGTGCAAATGTTTACCATGTGAGTCTTCCAGTTGTCGTAAAAGGCCAATTGAGAGACGGAACCTGCAATTCAATAAAAGAAAACAATCCATTCATATGATTGCATTATGCCAAGCTTTTTTGAAATTGCCAATGAGTAATCCACTATTTCTGTTATCAGCTCCACTAGTGGAAGATATCATTCTCCCTTTTTCTTGAAAAAAAAAAGGGTTGGAACTTTCATTCTGTTCTTAGAAGCTGATAAGTTTCCCATGAAGGCAAGACAGACGAGTCTCCAGAAGGACAAATTCCACTGGTTCATATTGTAGGATGCATTCGGACTTTAAGTGGGTTCGGTCTTCACCTCTCTCGTTGTTTTGCTCAAATTTTTAGGTGGACAAGAGCAAAATCAGGAAAATTTTATTATAGGGGAACAGGGTTGCGGGCTCATCTAGTGGGTTCTTTCTTTCTTTTGTGTTAGTAAGTTCTTATGTCTTCTTGATCACCTTCACAAAACAAATAAAACAAAATGTACTGTTTCTCGTTTGCTAAAAACACAACATGAAACTCAACTTGAAAATTACGCGCAAAAGTCAAACCAAACAACCCAAATTCATGCAAGCATATCAGTTTTCTTGTCCTTTTGTCATTACCGATGATCAAGCCGACGGTGACGAATGAGAGAATCCCAAAGATGAACTTCATGGTGGTAGGAACACTGAACTACTTGCCGGTGAAGAGACAAAAAGAAAATAAATGAAGAGTGAAAGAAACAAATATACTGATTCAATGCATGGACAACGTAATACGTCGCTTAAGAACACGAAGAAACAGCATTGATGTCCCATTGTTTGTGAAGAGTCAATTGATTTCTCTTCTTTCTTTCACTTTCAAACTTTGATTTGTTTTCGGTGAAGAATCATACTTCTATGCCAGTATTTAATCCCGTCGTACGCCAACGGATTTGTTATTGAATTATTTAATGATTTATCCCCTCTTACAGTTGTACTTTCACAGGTCAAATTTTTTTGTTTTTAAAATTCAACAGAAAAACACTTTTATTTTTATTTTTGAATTTTCTAGGAGTATAACCCTGTTATATAATAAAGGGTTAATATAAATTTTGATCCTTCAAATTTGTCCTCATTTTAGTTTTGGTCCCTCAAGTTTCGAATCATATGTTTTGGTCTAGCAAATTTTCTTTTATTTAAAACATTAGTCTCTATAATCTATTAAAAACTTATACCATTTTGCCTTTAAGGGACTAAATCCTATGGTTTGAAACTTGAGGAACTAAAACCAAAATGAGTGCAAATTTGAGGGACCAAAGATTATATTAATCCTATAATAAAATATAAACTGCATCAAAATTAAAATAAATTATAAAAATTTTAATTTTATTCAAATTAGATATATCTGATTGCTCGTGAAGAGTCAATTTATTAAAAAAAAATTGATTACCTATGTTTTAAAAAACAGATTAAATATGTAAGCTTTTAATAAAATTAAAAGTGCATAATTGATTTTTTTATGAGAAATTTATTTATGTTATAGAGAAGATTTACATAATTTTAGTAAATTTGTTAAGTTTATCTTAGGTTTCAGGGGGGAAAAAAAAGAAAAGAAAGAAACTGCGTAAATATATCAAAACTCAAAATGATTATTATATATAATTTACTCAAAAAAAAAAATCGTCCTTCGAGTGTTTGGATTGTGTGGTCCAAAAATGGCTTTAAATAATAAAAAACATTTTAAGAAAATTTGTTTGGCTTATGAATTTTTGTGAGAATCTGTGTAAGAATATCAATTTATGTCATTATAAAACGTAAATATGTTTTGATGTGATTTTGTAATAAATACGCAAGAATATGGAAAAATGAATTACCATAGTTTAATGGGAGAATTTCATTTAAATCCCATGTAACTCTAAAAGTTCACTGTACCCTTTTGAGGATAAAATGAAACTAATTTCTAGAGCGAAAAGACAATAACAACATTGCAAAGCAAGAAAGAAAAGTGAATTTATAAGTAGAATACATAAATTTACAGTTAAGATAAAGTTGTTTATAACTAGTGTAAGGTTGTTTACAAGTGAAACAAATATTCACAATAAGTCAAGGAGTTAAAATTCACAAGCGAAATATGAGAATTTTCAAGAATTCAGAAACGAAATATGAGAATTTACAACTAAGATAATACTATTCATAAGAGTAATAAGACCATTTCTAAGTGGAGTAAGGCCATCTACTATTGGAGCTAATATTCACAAAGTCAAGGAGATTTGGGGGATGCTAGGAGGTCGTTAGGGATTAAATGAGATGCTCGAGTCTTTAAGATTGAGAACAAGGTAATTAAACATCTACATGGTACGATTTTAATTCCCGAATTTATCTTTTCTGACAAGGCTTTCAACAAGATTAGGAAGCCATATGAATTGAGCCTAATGCGGAAGATTATGAGCTGGCCGTTTTAGGAGGTCCTTGGATGATCTCTGACTACTATGTGATTGTCCAAAAATGGACACCCAAATTTGATCCTAAGACTGAAGCTCTTGAAGGAGTCTTAGTTTGGATTCGTTTTCTAGATTTAGCTCTGGAATATTATGAGGAGGAGATACTTGAAGCTGTGGGGAATCAAGTAGATTGAAGTAGACTGTTGCTACTGGTTTAATTTGTAGAAATTAAGAAAATTAATTGAATTAGTTATTTGTTACAAATGTGTATTGATCTCCCTAAACTTTCGTTTTTAATCATGTGTATCAGGTGATTGGAATCATCCTTAGTAAAAACCCTTTACAATCAATAGGGATAATTTGGATTAAAAAAATGAGAAACAAATTAATTGAGAGTTTATATTTAGGACTATTTAATTATAAATTAGCTATTATATTAAAGACAGAAATTTGTAGATAAGAAAGAGTGATCAGTGGGGTTCTAGAGGCTAAAGAATTGGGCAGTGAGGAGAATTTTAGAAGAAGCTTGGGACTTGGGGTATCACCAAGTTCTGCTGCAAGTGGATTCAGTGAACCTCACTAGAACTTTAAAAGGAAAACGCATTGAATCTGGTTTCACCACAAGTTTGCTTCAGAGCATTTTTGAGCTTCTTGAAAGAGTGGGAGGAGAAGATTTGTCCAATCAAGAGACATGTGAATAGTTGTGCTGAGAGCTTGGCGAAGATTAGTTACAAAATATAAGAGTCAAACTTGCTTTTGGAAGTGATAAGGCTGTCCATGGGAAATCTGGCTTTGGATTGATTGAGAATGGAACCAAAAGTAGAACAGGATAGGTTGTGTGTGTGTGTGTGGCTTTGGCCACATTTTGTGATAAAAAAAAAAAAGTAAGAGCAAAACATAGTACTATTCCAAAATTTTATATGAAATATTGAGTATTGATTCCATTATTTTACCTAGGGGTGCAAAAACCTGGTGATCCGGTCCAGTCCAACCCAAAGTGGTCCGAACCTATCCATTCAGTCTAAATAAACTATATAATGAAATTAGACTAAACTGGACCAGTTGGTCGAACTGGACTGGGTTTCAGACCAAGCAATCAAACCACCTGGATTGGTCCAGTCTAGTCGAGGTGAATTTTTACTTTTCAATAATTTTAATTTAGATGTTACCTTTAATTTTTTTTAATATTTTTAGATATTTTGATATATTTATGATGAAGTCTTAATATTTTAGGATGGGTTTTATATGATTGTAAGTATTTTTTGTTGTTTTAAATTGTATTTATCATGATAAACTCTTGCTTCTCATAAAGAAAAAATAAGAGGGCCTTTTATGCGTTAAACTGATAGCCTTTTCTTGCCACAACAAAATAAGAGGGCCTGATTTCATTCACAAGACCTAAATATCAAAACAAGCATAAAAAGCATCTTCTTGATAATTTCTAACGTCAAACCAAATATACATCAAATCTGTACAGTATGCTTATACCATGTCTAATTTAACTCCACAAGCAATATTAACAAATCAACTAATAAAGCTCTCATCATGGAGCATTTTATCTAACTTCACTTGCATGTTATCAAGAATTATTCACAATCACTAATCTGTGTATAACTATACACAACTTAAAGGGAAAATTTCATCAATGGAGAACCCTCTGTATAATTTATTATACTCATATGACACGCTGAACCTGATGGAAGGCCCTCTGTCTCATCCACTTTACTGCAGACCACTTTGTTCCAGAAAGTACCTCACATGCTTTATGAACGCTATTCCGATCTGATTGCCCACTTAGTCCCTGAATAACTCAGCAACACATAAATATGTTACCTATCTTCAGTCATAAGGTTTACAAAATATGAGATCACACTTACAATTCCCTTAAATTATTGTTTAATCTTACTTGGAAAAACTCTAATTCATAGAACTTAAATTCCTTTAAACCATTATAGAGTATAGAGTCCTCTCTTCAAAAAGAATAGAGGAAAACAAAGTAGAACACTTAGTGAAGTTATTGAATGTGAATTTTGGTTGCTAATTTATTTTTTAAAAAAATGGTTACCAATAGAGTACAATGATACCATGCAATCTATGTAGTCGACTTCACCTAGTGGGGTAATGCTTATTGTTGTTATTGTTGTTATATCACAAAAATTATATATAATTTGAAATTAGCATATGCTAAACCAGCCATGGCATGGTTGCAGCCAATCTAAATCCTCCATATTCAAAAAACTAAACACGGTCAATAAAAAAAATCACAAAAGTAAATGTCAATAATGTGAATTTGGAGGTGTGGAAGAAAAAAAAGTTAAAAAAGGGCATGAAAATAAAATGAGTCCACAAACGATTATTTTATATTTCTGTGTTTCTCTTTCTTTTTTTTTTTTTTGACCTGAGTGTCTCTCTTTCCACGCGCATGAATATATGAATGTAAAGGTAATTTGAATCACAATGGATAAAAGGAAATGAAATGGAACGCTAAAATGATCCAAGAAAAAAATGCTGATGGTAATCCATAACAAGGCTGGAGGACATGGACTTGCAACGTGTGATTATTGCAGCACTATATAAAATAACAAGAAAAAGAGGAAAATTTTGAGGTACTTGTTAAAAAGTAACTTTTTCTACCTTGTGCAAAACATTGAATGATTTGTATATTGCCACATTTGACGTATAAAATTTTTTGCTAATTTTACTAACAAGCTATTAGTTAAGATGCCAAGTGGTCTCGTTCCTATAAAAAAATAATAAGTTCAAATTCCAAAAAATGTATTTATTGGGAGGGCTTTAATTTCGACAGAAATTAGTCTCAAACGCAAAGTGATTTAAGGATACTTTAACTTGCACAAAAAAAAAAAATCGCTAATTCTAAGCTCCAAGTGATTTTTTTTTTTTTGGGTTGTTGCTAGAAATAATAACTCAGTTCTGCAGCTAATGATGACACAATAATTCCCTTGACCCAACGGATTCTATCTTTCAAAAATAACCAACAAAACTTCCAAAAATGGAAGTAATAGCACAGTTATAATAACTAGTTGCTACCTACAAACCACATCAATACTGCGACAATGTCTCTAGCTGTTGTGTTGTGTGTTAATTTTAGTGTCCATGTTTTGTAGGCAGATCCTATAGATAATAAAATCTACAGAAAATCACATTATTTGTAAGCTTGAATAATGGGACTCATTTTTTCCTAGTTGCATGGAAAAATGTGTCTAGTTGCTCTTATATAACAAGCTAAGCAAAATATGGATACTAACCATACTCCAGAAAAGTACTGCATTTCCTTTTATAGGTTTCACAGATAGCCCTTCGACGATTTTCCCACCACAGTTACACTCACCTGAACCACCCTGCAATGCATTTACGTGCGTTAGTAACAGCCATAGTATCCTCCTACAAAATATTCCAATCAAAATTTGAGGTGATGCCAGCATATTACAGCAGTCATCTTACCAGCTCATTATATGTTAGAATCAAGATAAAATATCAATAATAAAAGGAGTAATAATTTTTTTATTGAAAAACAAAGATTGATTAACATAACTGTTTTGTTCTATGATGAGATAATTTAATGAGATGAATCAGATTGTAACAAAAACATAAATGCTCAATACCTAATTGGTTTGGTAACAAAGAAACGTAATTGGTACTTTACAACTTAGGAGCAGGACATCTGGACATGATTAAGAACCTTTGTTCTATAACTGTAACATATGGCTCAACCTTATAATAAAAGTATATCCAAAAAGTGTCAGCAATAACATTCACACCAACACTTTGAGTCTAATCACGTTTTAGAATAAGACTGTGAGCCCGGCTTTAAACAGTCTAAGATGAACCACATCTCCCATAGCTTATTATGCGACTTCTCATAAATTTTTTGTATTATTATTGATATAGATTTAAGGAGTCAACCAGACATTCATGAACAATGATTTCATCAACCAGAAACCAGTATCCAAAATTCTGGAGCTCATGAAGCACTGCCAAAAGATGACTCGAGCAAAAAGGCTTGTGACCAGTGAATGAATTGAGATAATAGTTTAAGGGTTAATTGTTAATTAAACCGAGGTCAACTAGGGGTCAAGCGAGTCATTTAGAATAATATAATTTAATTAAAAACATATGCATATATAATTTTGAAAAGAGTAATATTTAAATGGAAGGGCATTAATTCAAGAGTAATTAGAAGATTCATATATAAACCATACATAATTTAACAAAAGGGAGTTAATATAGCGCAAATATGATGAACTGCTATTTTAAGCACAATAAAGCAAGGAAAAAAGATATACTCCTCCGGTCCTAAATATAAGACTCCTTTTGTAGTGTAAATAAGATAAGACAGGGGCCTTATATTTAGAACCGGAAGAGTACAATTTAACTCACTCAACCAGCCCAAAACTCATAGCCGAACGGGCCAAGGAGCTGGTTCATTGGTATGACCCCCAAAACGGGTTGGGTTTTCATACTACGTGTCAGTCAAACATTAGTAACAGACACTGAATGTGGCAAAGTAGTAAATTCCTCTGTTCTTGTCACTCTCTTCCCTCTTTCCCTTCTCCATTTCTTGTCCAGATTATGAAACCACATCAGACTCCTTATCTCATATAGAAAGGAACCTATATTTATGATACTCTAGGGTCAAGCTGCACATCTGCTTCGTAACTATCATCTAATAATGACATATAAAATAAGCAAAATGATGGACCTCAAGAAACAAAAAGTTCACCTTTGGGAAATATGTTTCACCACCCTCAGCATCGTCACTTAGATACATAAGCATTGTTGCTATTCGCTGCCCACCATTTTTGAAATTGTGCTATTGTGGAAGAAGAAAAGAACAGAAAGGTGCAAATGGTTTGATTAAAGTCATTTCAACGCAATTATTGTCATCACAAAATGGAAAAGACAGCAAGGAGGGGAATAAAGCTCACAGTATCAGTAAAATAGTCAAAATGGGTTTCGTAAAACTGATTCTCCTCATATCTGTGATTCTGCACATGTTAGCCTTGGTACCAGGAAAATCATCACCTTTTGTTTGAAAAGAATGAAGGAAATAAAGTCATGTCCCACCTCAAAATTTGAAGTGGCTCTCCATTTTCAACTGGCACTTGAGCATATATTGAAATTCTTCTTTCAATTTCCTGGGCGTGTTAATTGAACATGTTTTATCAATATGTTCAATTAATCCTCACAAAAAACAAAAGGCTTTTAACTATACAAATCAATAACCAAATATGCAACACAATTGCAAGCATAGAGCAAAACTGACCAATAATTTTGAAGGAAACTAAAAGTTTCATATAATAAAACACTAATCATCATTAAAAAAAAAAATGGTGCACAAGAAGAAAAGCATGTCAATAGGATAAATACATAGAAATCAGATTGTAGGTCATGCACAGTAGTACATGGAATGGGGCAAAAACAAAATTAAAAAGAAAAAAAAAGACAGTAAGGTCACTCCAGTTTGAGCTTTGTTTCAGAAATTTAGCAATTTACATTAACAGGAGTATGACTTTATTTTTTAATGAAACCAAGTTATCTCAGTAAAAGGCCACAAATATTATATTAAATTTGAGGATCAAAATAATAAAACTAAGTATTCTCGGGAACAAGTTACAATCTAAACAATCACACACTGCTTGTTGTCCTCTCCATCCTCTATTACTTTCTACTCAAAAAGAAGAAGTAACAGAAAGAAAAGGTGGCAGGTGCGCAGCTCAAATTGATTTACAGGACATTAATCTGTTTGGGAAGTAAGAAGAAACTAATGCATCGAGCCTTTTCCTCTCTTGATTGTCCATCACTTAATGGTGTTGAATAAGCAAATCCTTCCCTTATAATTGAAATTAACCTCTTTTGTTAGAATCACATCAATGTCAAATTCATCAGTTCTTACAAGTTCCTTGTTTCAACTCTCAAAATATTTGAAAATAACTTCTCAATCACTAGGAAGAAACGATGGATGAATTGAAAAACAAAAATGTTGGGTTTCAATAATAACGGGAGGCAATTAAGATAAAAGACTAAACAAGAAAGTATACGTGTGAACAAACTTACCTGCACCATTGGGTGTAGTCTATCTTTCGAACTCAGGAACATGCCAGAGCTTGTTCTGCCTTTGCTGTCAACACTCTATGAAAGATGAAGGAAAATCAGATATGGTGCAAGTTGGCAGGGTACAAACTGCTATTCTAATTTGAAGGACACAGACAATAGAGAAGTTGATAGGCTATAAATAATCATCTGTAGAAGGAGGATAATCACTGCTTCAAATATTTTTCTGATTTTCTCTCCTTTTTCTCAAACTCTCTCAAAACTCATCATCAAGATTTTCTTGAGATGTAAAGAAGGAAAGATCCTTTGGTGTTCTGCAGTGTTGGGTGGTCTCAGTTTCTGCACCTTTTAGAAGAAAATATGGTCGTTTTGGGTCACGTTAGAATAGCTACGCACCCTAGTTACGACCGTGAAAGTGAAGTGTCACCTACTAAATTCCAACTGCACTAGTGGCTGAAATGTAAACTTATACGTAGACGTTGTATTTATGGGGGAAAAAACTAACTCTATACATGCAATAATTGAGAATGTCATTAATGATGCAGATTATCTCACTGTGAAACAAAAGGTTCTCTTTTCTTTTATTTCTAGCTCCAGATCTTTTAAGAGCGAGGAAAGGAAGGAAAACCCTTTTTTTAAGTGGCATTTGACTTTCCAATCATAGTGTCCTATGGTTTCTTAGGGTACTGCCCAGGGAAACATACTCAACATGCCTCATGCTGCATGAAAAGCTAACCGCATTTCTCACATCTAACGAACGAGGCATCGTAGAAAACCACCAAAAGAACTACAGGCATCCAAGTTCATATTTTGGATGTCTAGATAATGAGAATCAGTCAAAATAAAAACCAATGTACCTTTCCTGTTTTTCCATCTATCACTCGTGAACTTTGAAGGCCAGGGTACCCTAAAGCCTTGAGATACTCACATTCCTGTAAAAGAAAGCTAACTTCAATTTCAGTATAGATGGCCTTGCAAAGCTCTAACGATCAACAGCTTTATTTAGAAGCTATATTTATTAAAACTTATTGGTAGTAATCTTATTGTTCTATAAGTCATGATTGTTTCTCATCTCACATCCACAAGACGACCTTAGATGGGTTTGCTAAACAAAACAACACATCCTACACTACGTCACAGTTCAAACCTAGCAGCACCACATGAGAAATACCAGAATATCAGGAGAAATTAAAATATCAGAACTAATATAAACTTGGCCATAATCTTGGTCCTCTGGTTTATAAAATGATCCCAAATCCACCATGTTAATAGAGTTGAGCAAGCATGAAGTGTCATACCTCCATGCTTAGGAAGTTACGTAGTAAAATAATCCGTGGAGACCAGCTAAGAACTTCAGGTTTGATCTACAACCACAATTATGGTCACAGAAACATAGTCAAGATCAAGTATTTGCAAGCAAATCAACTCTACTCTCACAACAATGAGAAATGACCTGAACAAAAAACCAAATTTGAGATTGAGAGTAGAAACCAATTAAAAACTAGAATAAACTGAGAGGCAAGTTCAATTAATTTTAGCATAGCAATTTATTACGCTGAAAAAAAAATAAAAAAGATAATAAAAAGGAACTCAAATGCATTCAATCTATACATCAACACAACAAGAATCATCATGTACTAATAATATACTAACCTAAAGTTCATTTACATTGATAAAGAAATAACTTGCTATAATTTAATAACATGGGGCAATCACGACCAAATGGTGTTTTGGACCTTATTTGACCCCCAAAAAAAAAAATCACAAGACATTAAAGTAAGAAATATCATAACATATAATTTTGACATATTAAATTGTTAACAAAGAGAGCATATGGTTGATGATGATTCTAGAACAATTTGAATTATCCAAAATAAATTATATAATTACCACTTTGAAAATGACAATCTATCAATATATGTCCAAACGAGAATTGAGGAATGTGAAGAAAATTCTCTTACTGGTGTCCAGACAAAAAACTTCAAAAATACTTGCAACAGTTAGACGGGCCTTTTACTTTATCTGAGGTAAGAAGTTCTTTCAGGGATACTGAAAAACTTTCAAACAAGAACACTAGATTCAGGTATTAAGAGTTTTGGGGGGGGGGGGGGGACAAAACAGAGAAATTTACATACATATCTGAGACGTAAGATTTCTGCTTCCTTGTCATTCTTCCGAAATGGAATACCGAAAAATCACAAGATATAAATTTAAAAAAAAAATGAAAGGAAAGGGTTCTAATCATGAGGGGCTTCATACAAGGTACATATATCAAAATCAAGAAAAGTGGTTTCAAATGAATAGTAGCTCAATGGCTCCACCAATTTTTTTTTTGACGTCTTTTATAGTATTTACACATTCTAACAGTAATAATATAATAAGAAGCCTATTTCTTATTGTATGGAAGATAAATACATTATTTAGGCGCTTTTTTTTTTTTTTGGCTATGCATAAGTATCCTCGTATTACAAGCAATTATATTCGAAGCATTGTCAGTTACTAAATATAGGCGCCTCTCTAGCAAACTTAAAACCACAAATCATTCCATTGGAAACCTGAGATATGCTCATTTTCCGTAAGAACAATCAAAATCATTCCCAAAAAATTTGGGGAAAAAAAATCTGACACTAGGAAAAGGCGAGTAAAATTCCACTTGAACAAACAGGGTAGGACAAACATTTCAACAGTTATAATAAAACAGGGCAGTTTCACATCTTCAAAAATTCTTAAGCCCATTGCTACATAATATGAGTGCAAATTTTTACCAAGTGAGTCTTCCGGTTGTCGTAAAAGTGCCAATTGAGAGATAGAACCTGTCATTCAAGAAAAGAAGACAATCCATTTATATGATTGCATCATGCCAATATCATGATTTTTTATTATCATCTCTACATCAAATTGGAAGATATCATTTTCCCTTTTTCTTTGGGGAAAAAAAAATGTCGGCACTTTTATTGTTTCCTGGAAGCTGATAAGTTTTCCATGAAGGTAAGAGAGACAAGTTTCTAAAAGAAAAGATTCCCCAGTACTGGCTGCTTGATATTGTTGGATGCAGTGGGACTTCACTTTCATTCTTCTGTTCAAATATTTTGGTGGATAAGAACAAAACAGCAAAATTAAGGGTTAAGGTGCATCTAAAGCCTGAAATATTTTATCGATGCAAGATGGACGTTAAAGTATTTTGTGGTATTTTTGAAGTATGTTTTTAAGTGCAGTACATTTGAAGTATTTTTTATACATCCAACATTCTAACATCTTTTATTTTTAGGTACATCCAACATTTTAAATATATTTTTTTATTTTAACGTTGGATACCAAAAAATATTTCAAAATACTAAACACATTTAGAAAATATTCAGATACTGAAAGCCATCAAGTGGGATCCACTTCTTTTTCTCTCTTTTTTGGTCTTTTCTTTTTCTTTCTTCCAATACATTGTTTCTCACTCTTACAGTGAACAATACTGCAGATAAATCAGAATGTTAGGAAGCTATCATGACTTCTTGATCACCTTCACAAAACAAACAAAACAAAATGTAGTATTTCTCGTTTGCTAAAAATACAACATGAAGCTCAACCTGAAAATTACATGCAAAAGTAACAACAATGACCAAACAACCCAAATTCAAATGAGCATATATAATTTTGATATTCCTTTTTTCATTACCGATGATCAAGCCGACGGTGGCAAATGAGAGAAGCCCAAAGACGAACTTCATGGTGATGGGAACCATGAACTACTTGCCGGTGAAGAGACAGAGAGAAAAAGAAGAATGAAAGAGAAGTGAAAGAAACAAATACAATGATGGCCTTCAAGAACACGAAGAAACAACATTGGTGGCCCATTGCTTGTGAAGAGTCGATTGATTTCTTTTCTCTCTTTCACTTTCAAGCTTTGATTTGTTTTCGGTGATGCCATTTTTAATCCCGTCGAACGCCAACGGATTTTGTGATGAATATTTTTCGCTACTTTTACAGTTGTACTTCCACACGTCATAGTTTCTTTTCTTTTTTTTTCTTTTTGAAAAAATTTCCTTCAAAAAGTATTTTAATTTATTTTTGTTTTAAATTTTCTAGGAGTATAACTTTTTATAAAAATAAAATTAAATTGACCAATAAAGGGGAAGGAGCTAATCCCCACGACAGAATTTGTGAATCTCGTTGGAAAATCTTTTATATTTATTTTTAAATTTTAGGAGTCTAACCTTTTTTATAAAAATAAAAGTAAATTGCATCAAAATTAAATTAAAGTATAAGTTGGTCCAGTAGGTGTATATGAAAAGATTGTTAATGGAATATCTGTTTATAAGTATTTCCTAAACTTGAAGGCACATCAACTATAGTGAGTTTTCAAACTCAAATCATCTAAAGTTTTGACAAGCATTTCACCTAAAGTTTACACAACAAAAAACAAAACAATTATAATTGAAATTTAATATTATTAACATTAGATAGATTTAATTGTTGTACGTAAAACATTGATATATGTTTAAAGC